TGTGAACACAGCAGCGACTGAATGCTACCCCAGATAGTCACGCAGTGTGAAAACAACGGCGATCCGACGAGTTTGAAAATCGTGCAGTGTGAACTCGGCATTACTTGCTCCTCTATTGCTGGGGATCTCAGGCATGATGTGGGACTGCATCTGTACTAAAGGCAGAGTAGGGATAATCGTATTGACCCCGCTGTTGGTCTTTTCCTTACACTTAGAAAAAGGTAAATTCATCCGCTCCGGGGCTGGAGGCCTGGAGAACTGGTTAGAAGAGGCTGTTGGTGTGGAGCAGTGGGGTTTGGAAGATGATGACAGACAAGTAGATGACAGAGGCCTTATAACTGCTGTCAGATTCTGCTCTTCCGGCCCCTGCTGCATGCATCTCAGTCACGTTCCCATGGTGGGTGTGGGATGTGTTTTTGAAGATTGGCACAAGCTTTGGTCTCGGAAGTGCAGATTGTGACTGGATGTGAGTAAAATGAACATTAAGAAAAATCTATAATTTTGACCAACACAATGTATTTTTGGCAATTGCTACAAATATACCCGTGCTACGTAAGACTTTTTTTTTTTAGCTCCAGAGTCACAAATGGCACACGCTTAATAATTTCTAATTACTGGACATGCCTTTTGATTACTAAAATCAAGTGAGTAAATCAATAAAATGCACAGCTTATGCCGAGTTCACACTGCACGATTTTAGCCCGATTTTTCTATCATTAAACTTTCATGAAATTTCAAATGTCTTAAATTATGATTATAACTACTCCAAAACGACATTGATCAAAATGTAAAACTTAAGCCAAAATTGACATTAAATATATAAAATGTGATATAATTTATAAATATTTCAGATCATTTTAACTACAAAATAATACATTTATTTCATGTAATAAATCAACTGTAAAATTATGGCATTGTGCATTATTTTTAAAGATTTTTTTTTTAAATTATAGTATTATTTTTAAGTCAAATGTTTTACTTTGCCTAAAAGAAATAATCAACTACAACTACTCAATATATATTCAAATAATTGTCAATATTTAATTTTACTGATAAAATATAGAATTGCTCCAACATGCATGGCAACACTTACTGTAAATAACCCCAAAAATCCTGTTATATTATGGCAGACTGACTCTGCCGCCACATCTGTGAGCTTTCTCTTTCTCAAGAAAATACTTTCTCGATTGCGAAATCTTTAAGGTTCCTCTTAGTTAAACAATTATTTGTGCTGAACATGTATGCTGATAATGATGCTGGCACTAGTATGCTTTTGTACATCCAACATAAATTAACAGTTAAATTATTAGTCAGTTAATCATTGCTGCCTAATGTTGCCATTATCAATCATTACAGTCTATGAGATTAATGAAGGCTTCCTCTGTGCCAGCTTTCCATCTGTACTAACAAACAGCACATATAATGTTTCAAATCACGTTTCACAACATTTGTCAAAGTTGAATAACATCAACCCTCAGCTCTGGCCAGTATAAATTAAACCTTAACCCATCTGGCTGACTGTTAGTCTCTCCTCCATGCGCCAACAACAACTAACAGGAAGAAATGATCTAATGTAGTATCACTTACATTACATTTTCACTGTGAGTTTAGGCCAGTTATTATATTTTGAGAAAGTTTAAGATTTTGTAATTATCATCTACTAAACAAGGGATCTTTATTCTTGAACATTTGCTGTTTTATGAAAGGACACTTTTTAAATACTGTATTTATCTTTAAGACAAAGAAAACAATATAAAAAGCACTGGATACAATAATCAATGCAATGATATTATAGCTAAAGCTGGCGATGTGTCCTCAAAAACTAGATCAAATAACTTGGGTGAGTTTTTGATCTCTGTTTATTTGCTCACAAACTTTATCTTTTGTAAAGAAGAGGGGGAATGTGACGAGGAAATGACATAAGCCTGATCTGGGTCACTGATACACCACTGTGCATCCCCTCAGAGTATGTGCACCACCCTCAAGGCCACATCTTTGACTAAATATTGCTGTTTGGTATGAAGCTGCAGTCATTAATAAGCATTGCATGTGCATGAAGTGCTTTGAGATGCTGTCTCTTTTGATCTCTTACGTGGGAGGTTGATGTATTACGTGTCCAAGGACTTCAATCAGCATCAACATTTCAGATTTATATGGGAGTAAAAGGGAACATGCTGATCATCTGTCTGAAACTGGCCAAGATTTCTTTTAATTTATTCACCATAATTAATCACATTTACTAGATTCTAAATCAGGCCATCAAGGCTGCATGCATAATTACGAAAATTAGCTTTACAAAATAATTTTAGTTATAAATGAAGATTTAAATGTATGTAATAAATGAACTCCAAAAGTGTGGCTATAGACAATCAGCTTTTAATGAAAAAGGCTTTATCATATTTATTTTTTTTCCTTTTGTCTCAAAGAAGTAATCTACTGCAGGTCCATTTAAATTTTAATACATTTAAATATTTCTTTTTTATTTATAAAATATGGAATTGCTCCAACATAGATTGTAAAAGAGAATGTGCATATCATCTGCCTGTAACTGATCACCATTTCTTTTAATTTATTCGCCAGATTTAATCACATTTTTAAACATTTTTACTAAATTCTAATTGTGGTATGACAAATAAATTAAATCAGGCCATCAAAGCTGCATGCATAATAGTTAAGAAAATTTGCTACACAATAAGTAATCTACTGCAGGTCCATTAATATTTTAATAATTGTACAAATTTGACTTTTATTTATAAAATATGAAATTGCTCCAACATATCATGTGTCTGTAACTGGTCCTTTTTTTTTTAAATCAGGCCATAAAAACTGCATATAATAATTAAGAAAAAACATAACATTCGGTATCAAATCATTTGTTTTATATTGAGAATAGCATGCCACACCAGTCGACATGGCAGCTTTCCAAAAGTATTTAATGTCTGCAAAACATGTTTCTAATTTCATTTAAAAAGGGATTTCTACTGTCTGCATAATCCGCTTGTTTTTCAAATCTGGATAACACATGCATTTCAATAGTTTTGGAACATGCATCCATAAAGCAACATATCCAGTTGCATCTGTGCTGCAGATGAGCATATTCATAACAAATTGGGCAATGTCAGAAGTAATACTAAGCAGCAGAGTGCAGTACTTGATGTCAAATCCAATTGATTGCTACTTTATTGCTATCAGCAGGAGAGTAAGCTGAGTGACAGCATGTTTGTGTTTATGGACACGTGTGTGTGTGTGTGTGTGTGTGTGTGTATGCAGTACCTGAGTGTCTGGTCTGTTCAGTTCATTGCTGTAGTAGCAAGGCTTGCAGGTCATCCGCACTGAAAAACCGCACACACTCTCCAGTCCGGCCTGCAGATCTGATACGATGGTTCCCAGCACCCCCTGCTGGTCCACTCTGGGAAAGCACTGTACTGGCTGAGTGCGGATGCAGCACAATGGATATCTGAGCAGGAAGTCAAGGATATTTATTGCCAACATAGAAAAAAACAATTAAAAAAAACAATGCAGTTATAAATAAACAAGATCCAAACACGGCATGATTAAAAATGTATGGTTTGTTTATCATCTTTAATTTGTCCCCGCAATGTGTAATGTAAAGTGCAGACCTGATTCATTATGTGCAGAGATCTAGCACAAGTGTGAAAATGGGTGTTATGTAATATTTATAATGATAAACATGTTTGGGAATAGTGTTGAATTCCCAGAGTTCTGGGACTCGTTGCACTGGGACGAAACACAGATGAAGGCTGCTCTGACTATTACTTCAGTATAGAGCTTGTATACTGAGTATAATATGCAGATTTTCTTTATGTACAGTGTTGTTTAAAAGTTAGCTTTTTTTTTAATGAAAGAAAGAAATATTTTCACTCAGCAAAGATTAAATAAATTGATAAAAAGTGACAGTAATGACAATTAAAATGTTACAAAATTGTCTAATTCTAATAAATGGTTTTCTTTTTCTATTCAATAATACCGCAAAAATTTTTTAGCAGCTAAAGCAGTTTCTTGAGCAACAAATCAGCATATCAGAATGATTTCTGAAAGATCTTGTTTCACAGAAGACTGGAGTAATGATGATAAAAATACACATTTACACCACAGGAATAAATTACATTTTAAAATAGATTAACATAGAAAACAGTTATTTTAAATTGGAATAATATTTCACAATATTACTATTTTTACTGTATCTTTGATTAAATAAATGCTTTTTTTTAAAAGCACTTGGCCTTCTATTTATGTAGCAACCAGAAGACATAATTTCTAACATCTGATTCTTGATTCATCATTTAATTGTATTGCCATCAGGATTTTCCCAAAATTGGATTAAATATTTAAAATAACCATGTAACCATTAAGAAGATAATTGTACATCACTGATGAAATTAATGCAATGTAATAAGGTCACGTGGCAACAATGTATCATACTAATGCTTGAAATGTTGCATAATGCAAACTGTTTCACATGTTGGCAGTGTTCAGTGTACATACTGTAGCACAGTATGTGATGCCAGTTCTGCAGTCTGAACATTCTGAAGAGTACAACCCATCTCATGTCCACTAGGTGTCATTATCATGTTGCATGAATGTCAGTCAAAACAGTCTGCTGTACTACTTTTCACATTCAATTTGTAATCCATCAATAGAATTTATGTCTGAAAAACAATTGATTTTTTTCTAGCAAAAATGCCTTCAGATTGATGATAAAATTAAAAGTGTGATGCTGTAAATGGAGCACAAGAAGATCATAAATTGGTGTTTTGGACAAGTCTGTACCATTTTACTGAGAGCAAATGTTGTGCTATAAACAGCTGAAATCAATATCTTATTGACAGGGAAGTGATCATTAACTAAAACCTTTACTAAAGGATACGTGAACAGCTCGTCACCTATTGGTTTAAAGTACACACTGCAGTAGACGACTTCCTCTTCGCTTACTGAGGACAGCTGATATCCATACTAAAACAAGAAAGAGAGACAGTTAAAGAGACAGACAGAAGAGCAAGACAGAGAGTACAGAGAGACAGGAACATTTATACAGTTTAGTGAAATTAAGAAAGAGTTTTTTAATGGGCAGATTAGCATTTGTCTGTGTTTGAGTATATTTGTAAGCAAGCTAGCACTTTCAAACTAAATATTTGGATGTGATTTAGGTTTAAACAGACGGTGTATATACAATATAAATGGGTAATCGTGCATGTCTGCACATACATACAAATTTTGTTTGATAAAGTCTGTTAGTGATCAAAGGTTACATTGTGACCTCTAAACCAAACAGAAGTGGATCAGAGTGCTGAACACACACACACACACACACACACACACATATTAACAGACTGGCAAGAGAGTGCAACACTTCCAGAATGACAGTCAATTTACAAACTGTAAGCAACAAAAGCTGTGTCAGACACTGAGACACCATTAACTGTCAAGCCATGCTGTTTTATTTGAGTGCAGCCCTGTGAATAAATAAAAAATCCTGAAACTCTCTAATGATCTGTAAATTGTTTGCTCTAATTTAATAATGCAGTGAGAACTGTTCTGAATTTGTTGGGGAATAATTATGTTGCATAACAATCACAATAACTCACAAGTAACCCACATGACTCCAGTCTGAAAATTAATGTCTTGTCAAGTGAAAAGCTGTGTGTTCGGAATAAACAAATCAATCAAGACATTTTAACTTTAAACTGATTTTCATAATATTGCTTCTCCAGAGAAAAGGTCTTCCTGTCCGAATCAAGAGAGAAATATGCACAAATCAAGCACTATTTACAAGCAAAAACAGCTCTAAACAAATATATGTGAGGATTTTGATGTGAGAGGACAACAGGAGATGGACTTTTTCACTGAAGGAAGCACTATTATGGATTATGAACTCATATTTTGGTCATGAAGAGAAACATTTTATTGAAAACACCTTGATGTATGAATGACAAAAACACAGCTTTTGGCTTCACAATACAGTACGTTAACTGATGGACTGGAGTGTGGATTACTTGTGGATTGTGATGTTTTTATCAGCTGTTTGGACTCTCATTCTGACGGCACCCATTCACTGCAGAGGATCCACTGGTGAGCAAGTGATCTAATGCTAAATTTCTCAAAATCTGATGAAACATACTCATATACATCTTGGATGGCCTGCGGGTGAGTAAAAATATTTATTTTTTAGGTAATTTTCATTTTTGGGTGAATTATTCCTTTAAACTTTGGCACAAAGTCTGAACACTACTTGTGCTACAACCATGAAACAAATGATGGGGCTTATTGAGGAGAGGTGTGCACTATTATTTTCTGTAGTGTTTACCATGTTGTTCCAGTGCTTTTGAAACTCCATGTAAGATTGGAATGGGCTTTGCTGTGGAATCCTGCGACTGATGCTAATGATTTGGCCTTTCTTCATACTGTTCACACACACACACACACACACACACACACACACAAACACA